GGTACTATCTAAAACAGGGCGAAATATTAATTTTGTAAGCGCCGAATATATATTTTTTCTTTTTCTTTGGTCGCCAATATAGGGTGAGCCGATGACTTAACACAATCCAACAGTCTACACTGCACGGCAATCCTTCTGTCTTCGATTAGAACAATTTATCAAATCATTCCAGCCAACTTTTCCTTCCAAATTGGAAGTCGTGTCATAATGAATCACTAAAAAATTATTCAAGGCTCAGTTTTTCTTCATATATTTGGGAGTGGTTGTTCGATTTTGACTGACCCTCATTTAACTAGTTCGGTGGTTGATTTTATTTATCTAAACGGGGATTTTGTTTAATATTCGTGACATATATTTTTCTTAATTTGGAGTACGTTTTTTTGTATGATTATCTTATATTTGTTATTCGGCCTTCATTATTCTCCCCATAGACGGAACTTGACTCTGGCGGCCTGCTATCCGCTCATCGTTCTGCGGTGCGTGACCAGCTAGCCGCCAATGGCGATGTATCCTCTTTCACATCCGCCAGAAGTTCTACATGCAACCCTGTGGTGGCTGGTCCTGATGTATCGCGGGCTTTTCTTCGTGAGGCTTTTTTCACTCGCAAGACAGCCGTTCTTGGCCTTCATTACACTTATCCTGGTCTTTTACTTGCTGTCGGGCCGTATAATCAGGTCTAATCAGTGTTATGTCTTGTGCACCCCTCATGTCATCATTCCACCTTTCTTTTTTTCGGCTAACGTAACCTAATCTGATCTATTGCTCTTTTTTTACAACACCTTAGTTTCCCTTAATCTTGTGTATATAGCCTCGTCTTGTATATACTCGTAGTTCAGATTGCTTTATGCCTTTTGATGGGGTTCCTTATTCAAAAATGTCGCTATGCTTTGAATCACTTTTTCCTCTCGATTCTAACTACAAGCAAAAATCAGGTTTACTGGCTGTCCACTAATGGAACATGCTTCGGTACCGGATTTATGCCATCAGAAACAGTTATTTGAAAACTATTTCCTTAAAATATGTATAGGCCGTTTTTTTAATGGGTACAGCTGACATGATCGGTTTACAAGTCGACCGTCCTATGAAATGGATTTCTTATAAATAATAAGGTCCTTGATATGTTGGAGTGGAACACATTTAGAAGTTGAGCTCAGTGGAAGGAAAAGAAGGATTGCCTTAGAGCGGTGACTAGATTTGTACGAATAACTTTTCGACGCATCGTTGCTGGGCTTTCGTCCGTCATCATCAGAGCAGCACATCATGCTTTATGATAATTCACTAA